GAGAAAAATTAAATTATTAAACAATCACATACGTTAATCATTGAGAAAGGCCTTTATGTCGAGTTTTTGTACGATCAGTTTTGTAGTTTTTTTTTTTGTATTCGGAAGAAACAAATATTGAAATCCCTTTCTATTATTACTAGAAATACAGTTAGCAATTATAATAAATAATATAAACAAATTTAGTAAATTTAACAAATGTTAGTAACTTTAATAAAATTAGGTAACTTTCGCGAATTTTAGTAACTTTTATAAAATCGCCAATGAAGCGGTACTAGTTGCTAGTGAAATAATTAAGAAAACAAAGGGGAATCATAAAATGAATATATAATAGTTCGAAATGAAGTTTGATATAATATTGAAAGTAGGTCGGTTATTATTATTGTTCAAACTTTATACTTGAAAGGTAACGGGTAGAATACGAGGGCGTTTTAATTATCACACAGCGGAAAAACTGGGCCATCTAAAGTTTTACTTCTCTCTGTGGTTTACTTGAGAAGTATTAAGCACTGCTGCATGAACCAAGTTGCAACTTAGACGAACTAAAGTTTGTGAGGTTTTATTGTTTCATATACTATCAATATTATCCGCTCCAGTTGATAAAACATAGCCCTTGAACTTTAAGAAAACTATTGGATACAAACAAAGTCTGTTTTTCATTTCTTTTGTTTCTTTTTAGTTTCTCACTTATGTATACTTTATATTGGAATTAGTGTGTGTTTCAATACTGAAATGTTTGTCTTAAAAACCGTTTGTTTAAGCTTCAATTATAACAAATTCATAGTTTCTGTGCATCCCTTCCATCGTCGATTAATGGTAGGCAACGTAACTTTGCATTGAAGATGTCTATCAGCAGCATTGAGGAGCATTCGCTTCACTATTTCGGCGAATTCACGTGGCCACTTGCTCGTTTACCAACTTCTTATATAAAAAGATCTGGGGACCGTCCCGCATTAAACCTATGTTTGCTATATGCAACAGAGGCTACCTTTTATAGCTAGATTATGTCTAATACATAGAAGTACTATTCATGGAAAAATAAAAATGTGCAGTAATTCATAGTTCATTGAACTCATTATTCATCTACGCTTAGTAATCAAAGCAAATAATATTTTTTTTAATAAATCTGGTTTCATATAAATAGGTTCATTGCATATTAAATTTAAAAAATCCGAGTGAGAAATAAATGTTCCTAACACATAAAGTAAATGAGAACGCATCATTAGCTAATGGCTAACTAACCATAGCCTTTCAAAGGCATTCATCTCTTTTATACAGCCTTGCATTCAACCTTTCTCTATTCAGTTCTCATATGGCAACATAATTTTTATTTCGTTGATTTATATCTCTTAAAAACACTATTCAACTACTAAATTTTATTTACTGATTAATTTAATTAAGGTATTTTGATGTTTGGAAAATTTTACTTTTAATTCTAATTTTAATTTGTTAATTCTATGGCCATGTATATCCGTAACACCAGAGGAACCGCAGATGATTTGCCAGCTTCATCATCATCATCATCATCAACCTGCCCTTATCCCTATCGAGGGTCGGCACAGTATGTACTACTCCTCCATACATCTCTATCAACCGTCATATCCGAGTCTACCCCCTTCTCACGCATATCCTCTTTCACACAGTCATTCCATACTTTTTTGGTCTTCCCCTACCCTTGTAGCCATCCACATTCAATCTCATTACTTTTTTGCTTATATCATCATCATCATCCCTCCTCATAACATATCCAAACCACGCTAAACTTTTACTCCTCAATTTCTCGATCACTGGGGCTACTTTCAAACTTCCTCTAATATACACATTTTTAATGGCTTGGCTTTTCGAATTTTTCTTCCTTGTATTTTTTAAATTCATCAAAGAACCTTACACCTTTAATAGCAATTATGCTATTAAATTTATGTGCAGTGCTAAAAAAGTTACGAGTGAAATTCGAATCCGTTTTTCACTAATCAATAATTTTATTACATACGTCCACTGTATATGTTTTATGCAGATGTCATATAACCTATGACACTACGGGGAAGAAGACGAATCGAATGATAACTTACATGTCAAAATCGGTTCAGTAGTTTAGGCTATAGACTGTCACACATAACCTCGTAACCACGTACATAAAAACAAAGATACGCGCGAAAAATATTTCCCTCTCATCAGACGGGTTATAAAAGGAAAGAGAGGTAACATTATACTACAAGTATTTTAGCAGTGGGAAGTCACGATTAAATTCAAAGTAATAACATCAATTTTAATGCTTTCAAAGTTACGTATACATAGATAAACTTTATATTGACGTGGAAGTTTAAATTTTACAATTCCATTCGACGTGAACCCCCTAAAATGTGGAGTGACATTTAACCTCGGGTCGCATCATCCGAATAGCGAGGCGTATGTTTTAATGGCCCTCACACGGCGGCAATCAAAGTTTATATCGCGAACATCAAATTAAATTTAAACACCGGTGTAAAATTTAGAAACGTGTGTCCTTTGATTCGTTTTATATTGAATTTTTGAAAATTATAAGAGTAAAACTCGACTAACTAGGTACTGGTCTACCAAAATTACTCGACCGATGAGTCAAACTCTACATTGAATACTCTACTAGTTGACCAACATTCCAACACCCTAATCTTTCAACATAACTTTGGAACCATCTAAGGTCTATTCACATGAAGTTGAATTGTCGACACCATTTATCCATTCGGTTAGCACAAAGAGCGACTCCATGGCAACTGTTTGATTGCTCTATCATCTTAAAAATCGCACCAACTTTTCTCACGAGGACCTTGAGTCCTAAGTAGGACCTTCGAGCGCGCCCTGCGTGATACTCGCGATGCCACCATACAATATTACTTTAGACGATTAACATTGCTTTGTGTACTAAGAACGGTAAAAACTATGAAGTTGCTTAGTTTAGTATTTGTTGTGGTACAATATTTTTCAAAATAATATAATAATCAAAGAACTTGAAATATAATCCCGAAGTATAGTATATGGGTTTTCAAAGAGAATGTAAGAGGTTATAACATATATTAAAATACTTTAATGTTAGTACTGTGAAGTTTGTGTGTCTATGCATAGACTTCATTAAAGTGCCCTATCCACTTGTAACTATCGAGTATAAGTACACTGATTGTATAGAACTAGGGGAACTTTTTACCCTGTGGCTATGTCTGGCAAAGGGGTCTGTTGTTGACATTTCCTTTCTGTCAGTTGTCAGTTTGTCAAGGCTTTGTAGCCTTTTAGTGTTAACAATGTATTATTTTAACAATATTTTTCTTGATCTTAATCATGTTTGAAGTCTGTGTGGTCTACCCTTTGTTCAGAATGTTCAATAAATAATTCGTATATTATTTTTTTTAATAGAAATAAAGAGGTTAACATTGGATTTTTTTTACTTGTTTCAGTTGTCGCTGTAAATATTGTGATATCACAATATAATCGCACTTATTTAGAACGGCATGAAATCAACAAAAGGTAAAGTATTATGGTTCAATCTTACTTATATTATAAATGCAAATGTTTGCATGGACGGATGTTTGTTTGAAGGTATCTCCAGAACGGTTCAACAGATGTCACTGAAATTTGGCAGGGATATAGAACGTAGTCTGAAAAAACAAATAGGCCATTAATTAAGTTTTTTTTAAAATGCGAATGATTAGATGTATGGATGGATCACGATGAAATTTAGCGTACATATAGAACATAGTCTGGAGGAATACATAGGCTACTAATTATGTTTTTTAATTACGCGTGGAAGGTGTCTCGGCCGACAGCGAGTATTAATATAAAGGTTCTATAACTCTGTCAAGTTTTATATGTCTTATTTATTACGTTAACACTTCATCATTATTTTCATTACTGCAATTGTAAAACTACTGAAACAGACAGTCTATAGAAGCAATAAAACGAGGTAGAATGGAAACAAATGGCAAAGCGACGGACATTAAAAGAAAGCGACTTGGTAACGATGGAAAGTTAAATAAAAAGACGCTTATCAGCTGTTTTGAGGATGGCCCTCCTTTTATTGCCTTTAAAATTTTATGATTGCGAATCTTGGTAATTAAGCTTGGGGCACAACGAGATATAATATTTATTTGGCATTAAATACGTAATTTTTATTTCTATCTATAATTAACTACGCATATTATTAAGAAATACAACATTTACTTGTCATTGTTACGTTTACTACAGTTTTAGTTTTTTTTTGGATTTAGCTTAAATTTTTGTTGTAGAATCAAGATAAAAATCAATGATTTGTGGGTACTGTGACATAAGGAGTAATATTTTATTTCCGTAATTTAAATAGGGATATTTACAATTAGTACAATAAATAAATTATGTTAATAATTTCATAAAGTAAATTAATCATATAATTATTAATGAATTACTTGATATTAATCATTATTATTTATGACGTCTAATTAATTCATATTCTCTCATTGTGTGTTCACCTTTATACTTTTACAACCAAGAGCAAAGCGGTGCTACTCGACGCTTTCAAGAGAAAAAAGGCTTAGAAAACTTAATATATTTTTTCTTAAATTTTTTTTAATTTATTTTTTATAAAATTAATTAAAAGTTTATCATAGGAATTACATCTTTATTATAATACATTAACTAACTGTCGCCTGCGACTATGTGCCTATGTGTTCTTTCAGACTATGTTCTGCATCTATGCCAAGTTTCAGCGAGATCCATTAAGCCGTTTCGTTTGAAATTTATTCGAATTTTTCTTACCTTTTAAACCTTGCGTAGACCTCCAAGAAGATTTCAAGGCCAAGATATGATAAATCCGTTCAGCAGTTCTCCAGTTTTAGTGAGACTAACGAACAGCGTGATTTTTTTATATGTAGATATTTTATACCGTAGTTAGTTGTTATTACCAAGAAAATAAAAATTAGGTGCATACTTTTGGTAAATTGTTCCATCTTTATGAGCTCCAAGGGATGATATGACTTTTTTTTCCAGGATTAATAAAAAGAAAGAAGAAGAAAGAAGAAAATCTTTAATCGATATCAAAAGCATTGATTCGATATCAATAAGTAATAAATTAATTAATAGTAAGTACAATTATTCTTTTTTTAAACAATAAGGGCTTACTACCAACGATATATCTCTGTTTTTTTCCAAGAGAAGGAAAGAGATGACAATAGTTTTCCGTATAAGTGTTAATGCAATGAAAACCCATGTTTAGTTTTAGTTACTTTTTTAACTTAGCGTTATGGAGCGGAATAAGCAAAGTACAATTTTTTAATTCATAACACTGCAACTTCTCAAACTTTCACAACGAATGCCAAGACCTTTTGTAAATGAAAATAAAAAATATATATAAGTATTCATTGTACTTGAAACTTTGTACCTAATTCCCCTTTATGTCTATAGAGGTAAAGTTCAAATTGGCCCGTATTATTAACTCCGATATAGATTACGGGTCGGGAACAAGTTCGGACCGCGGAGTTCGGAAAGTTTTGAGTGCATTGCCGAGTTAGTCTACCGTTCGGTTCTCTTTAACTAAACCGGCTGGAAATTGTTCAATACAGCCGTTTTAAATTATTTTTTTTTAAAAGTTTAACAAAACGTTTTGTTCCGTATTAAATTAGCATCAGCTGTTTTAAGATTGAACGTTAATTTTATAAAATTAATTTCGTTTGACTGAAAAATTTGTATAGTTTTTGTTTAAATCAATTTAATTAATTACAATTACTTTGGTTTATAAACTTTTGGTTTTAACAAGATCGTCTGTAGTAATATAGATACATATTATAAATTAAATTGTATTTTGTTTTAATAAAATCGTATTTTTCAGGTTTTCATATTGAACATGAAACGACACGGAGTTCAAGAAAAGAAAGGTAAAGAAAGGTTTTTTGTATTCAAATGTATAACAAACTAGCTGTCGCCCGCGACTCCTTTTGCATGGAATTAAAAAAAATATTAGTAGACTATGTGTTCATCCAGACTATGTTCTACATTTATGGGAAATTTCAGACTGATCCATGGAGCCTTTCTGGAGATACCTTCACACAAACATCCATCAATCTAAACAATCGCATTTATAATATTAGTAAGATGTGTTAAATGAATTACTCTATTTTCATTTAATATACGTTCTGATATTGGGTTTGCCTGTACAAACATCCTTGAACGATGTTCAAAGTAAAGATATTAAACTTAGGCTCTGTTCAAACAATATAGACCATCAGCAATCTAATTATTCCCCATCTCGCGAGTAAACACCGCGGGCGTAGTTTAACAACGGTTAACTATGCATAAATTAAACTCGGATTAATGATATTACCGCGAAACAAGGCGCGGTCATGACGCCGCATAATGACGGCCCGATCTGTATTTACGACCTTACGTGTTCTATAGGACTTTATAACACATTATGAGTATATAGTCCCATGTACATATATACCCTTTTTCGACAAATTTATTGCCGTCTCTTAATTCTTTATAACTTTTTTATTGTTCATTTATTCTCGCATTGTATGTTTCGCAGGTCAGTTACGCATAGAAAATCGAAGTCACAACGAAGTGTTGACAAATATGATTTTAATATAAATATAAGTGAAAATGGTAAGTAGATAAATTGATTAAAATGAGACATATCTATGTATGTACTCTTTAGAATTGTCTTTTAAAGAATTCAAAAAGCTGTACGTAACGTTTTGGGACACCCTGTATATATATTTATATATATAATTCTTCTGAGAGTGTGTATGTCACTGAACTTCTCTCAAACGACTGGACCGATTTTGATGAAATTTTTTGTGTGTGTTCAAGGGGATCTGGGAATGGTTTAGATTCACAATTTTGTCCGCTGGACAATGTTTTTTTAATTAATTTTTAATTTATTAGTAGTTGTTGATTTTATAATGTTTTACATTGGATCCGACAGACGGCGCTAACATCGCAGTGTCAAATTTTAAATAATATTCGAATTAAAGATGTGTAGACAGGACAACGTCTGTCGGGTCCGCTAGTATATATATAAAATAATTAATAAGTATCATTTGTTTCAGATGAAAAACATTTAAGGTACAGACGTGAATTAGGATCTTCAAATATAATCATCACGCATCATTTCACAGAGAAAATAGTCACATCAGGCGAAGATGTAAGTTTATACAATGTTAATAAACTACTAATATTCATTTGACCAAACTGACCTCGTCGTTAGTTCCTCTACGTAACCACCGAGAGAACTACTCTGGATTAGAGAGGACTAATCCTTAGTGTAAAACATCGTGATGCAACCTGCACATATATGGAATTTTCAAAAATATGTGTAAAGTCAACCCTTACTGAGCTAGCGTTGACTATGTCCTAGTCACTTCTATCTTAGGATAGGGTCTGAATCCTTCAGTGGGGACGTGTCGATAACTGATGATAATGATGGGTCTATATTCAAACATGCTGATACAGTAAGGGTTGTCTTCACACTAATAATTTCTATGCTTTTTCAACGTAGGAACTTTGGTTACTATTACACGATTGTAATAAGGACTTTAACAAGACTGGACTCACCATAAATTGTGCTTAAATGTATTCGTTATACATAATCATTGTGGCCCCAACTTTCGAGAAAAGGACAATATGCTTAATGTACTGCGAAAATTTATTACCGCAAATAACAATAAATAATGCCCATGTTTAGGCAAACAACTGCTGGATAAAGTTGTTGGAAATTATCTCTTTAATGTACGTTTTTGTCATCTCCATAAATAAGCGAAATTGTTATAATTATGTGGATATATTTTCTGTTTGTACTTAAAGCTTGTCTTAATTCGCAAATTCTTTTTTTATATCATAAGGTGGCAAACGAGCGAGCGGCCACCTGAAATCGCTGAAATAGCGAAGTGACCGTTGCCCATAGACATACGCAATTGCATATGCGTTGCCTACCTATAATCGAAGGAGGCGAGGATGCACAGAAAGACAATATTTTCCCTTCCCATGCATCCTCTCATCCGTAAAGTTCACTTCCACTTCTCATACTTTCCTTATAAGAAAAAGGGTGGGAAGGGAAAGAGGACTAAATTAGGCCTCCGGGACGCACACTCATCAGACGAAACTTTCACCGGACGAGCCGGGTCAATTTGTGCGGAGATGTAAAAGCGGGCTCTACCACTGTTAACTTAACTAAAATGAATATATTATTCTTTGCTCTTATGTAAATCTCCGTTTCTTTGTACCTCCTTTAGTAGCCTTAATAACTTGACCAATTTAACGAGTAAAGTGTCATTAGTTGAATGCAGACGATTCCATTATCAAACGGTATCACGAACGATAAAAACAATATAGTCCTTAAGTTATGTCGTATAAAATTGTTATGTCTCTGTAATTGCAGATAAGTCTCGAATGTACTGCAACAGCTGAAAGACCGCCGCGATTTATCTGGGAGAGAGATGGTGTTGTCATATCATCTAATACTGATTCCAGGTAATTTTGTAAAACAAGTGAAAGTGCAAAAAAGAGATTCTCATTTGTCCATGAACGTTAATACAATTTTGCACATGTTAGTCGGTTAAAAGTACTTATACTATGTCTTCTATAAATACTATGTCTTCGTTTTATATTTCGCGTTATTCATTTTTCTTTGCTACCACAATTTGTCTTCTCATTAATTCTTTAACAGTCTATTCATCAATAAAATAATGTTTTACCCTCGTCCAAATTTTTCAAAATCGAAAATGTGTGTAGTAATTTTGAAATAACTAACTAAATTAGATCTTCAAGTTGAGTAATCTTAATTCCAGATATATCCTCGGTCAAATGATGTCATCTTCGGGCGTCGGTGTCATCTCCCACTTTAATATATCGCGGGCTCGTGTTGAGGATGGCGGGCTGTTCTCCTGCGTGGCGTACGAAGGGGACTCTAGTACCAGACATGTGGCTAGAGTTGATGTTTTTGGTAAAACTTTGCTTACAGTTATGTACAATATTTCCTATAGATATTGACGAAAGATGAGTCCCAGAAATTTAGATGATGGATTTTGTGATTCAGATCTCCAGAAAGACTAGCTAAAATTTGCCATAGATGTATAACGTGGTCTGAAAGAACACGTAGGCTACTATTTTTTTTTAATTCTACAAATACGGAGCCGCAGGCTAAAGGTAGTTTGTTTTTTATTGAAGTAGAAATTGTAACGAAAGAAACGACCAAAAAAATTGTTGTTTTCGCACAATAACTAGAGTTGGTAGAGTGGAAAAACAGTTTTTCACAGGAAGGACTTAGGTCGGGTCAAATAAAGCCTCTTATGTGGACGCAGAATAACATTTTGTTTTTATAGGTCCGCCATATATTAGAACGTTGCCGCCCATCAAAGTGCAAAGTGGGCAGCCGCTCAAATTACGCTGCCCTTACTACGGCTATCCCATAAGGTAAACGAGCTTTTTTGTTTTCTCAGCTCATATAGAAGACAAAGGAATGTCTTAGAGATTTAACATATTTGCAAATAATCCGGAAAAAGATTGAAATTAACCAGAAATGAAACATTTAAAGTTACTTTTGTTAATTTCAGTAAACTGGAATGGGAACATAAAGGAAAGAAAATTGTCAATTCAATGTTACCACAACATTCAAGATATCGACGGTCTTCAGTTGTTACCAAAGGCCGAAAGAACGCGAAGAAGAAAAGAAAAAAACGACAGCTCTTCGAACCAGTAGAGGATGGTGTTTTAAGCATACCACGTGTGACTAAAGAACAGAATGGAGATATCTACACGTGCATTGTGTACAGTCCATCAGGGGAAATGGCTAGAAGGTAATGTTATAGGACAATGAAATTATTTATTTTAATTTAAATAAACGTTAACTTACTAAATACAAGCCTAGAAGAATCTTAACGTGAATACTAACTCAATAATTAAAAAGAACAAGCAGAAAATTTAAAAAATAATCTATCGAACATTTACTAAATCAAAAGATAAACTTTCCTAATTTCCAACAATATCCCAAAAATTTTACTTATTCAATTGTAACGAAATGTAATAAATGTTACTGAACATCATCATCATCATCTCCCTTATCACACTAACTTGGGGTTAAGAGCCCAAGGTTTTGTAAATCTAAATGAAGTGACAGTACTCATCATACCTTCGGTACTGAATCGCACCATCATTCAGTTAAAAAACAAAGTAACGAAATTGTAACAATTTTGAAAAGGAACCCCGTGTTTATATAATTTCAGATCTTTCGAAGTGCAAGTGGTGGAAGCACCAGCGTTAGATGAGCTACGCGTTGGTACAGGACTGAAGGAAGGTCAGATTGTGCAAATAACCTGCAATATTATCAGTGGAGATCCACCAATATTCTTCTCATGGTTAAAAGACGGGATGAAGATTCCAGCGAGTTTGAAAGTAATTGTTTAAAAATAATTTATGATGTAGGTAGATTAATAATTTATAGAGAATTTTGATTTTATCTTATGGCAATGATGATGAAAGATTTTCTTGTTGAAGCTTTTTGTTTTGTGGTTTTATCATTGAATTTGATTATTTTTAGTATGCCAAATAATTTATTTTAATGTAATGTGTATTTTAGAAATATCAATCGATTTTTTAACAGTGGTAGAGCCCGCTTTAACATCTTCGCACGAATTGTCCCGGCTCGCCCGGTGAAATACCACGACCACACAGAAGACAGGCGTCAAGTGAAAGCCATTCCGCGTTTTGTCTGATGAGTGTGCGTCCCGGAGGCCTCATTTAGTCCTCTTTTCCTTCCCACCCTTTTTCTTATAAGAAAAGGATGGGAAGTGGAAGTGGACTTTCCGGACGAGAGGATGCATGGAAAGGGAAAATATTTTCTTTCTGTGCATCGCTCGTTTGCCACTTTATGATATAAAAAAATCGATGAAATTGATTTTAATTAAGCCTTCATTTCAGATTAATGAACGAAGTTCAGAATTATTTAGTGTTCTGATCATAAAAAGAGTTTCGCTGGAGCATTGTGGGAAATATACTTGTATTGCGACTAATCATGTTGGGAAAGTCAATCAAACAGCTGATCTCTACATAAATGGTAAGTAATGCAAAGTAATACGTAAAAACTATTTTATGAATTAAAAGTGAGTTTTTAATTATTTTTTTTTTAAAGTTGCACCAAAATGGGTGGAAGAACCAACAAATACTTCACTATTGTTGGGTCAACGAGGTGTTATATATTGTAATGCGAATGGATATCCAACACCACAAATACATTGGATGAAAAGAGACGGTAAATATTCTGAAATCATTGATGAGTTGGCGATTATAGTTGAAATTTATTACAAAGGATTTTCAATTTAATAGTTTCATTTTAATATTCATCTTTCAACTACTGAATTTTAGATTTTAAGTTCAAATTAAATAACACTGTAATCTGCAACCCAAATTGCAAAAATAAAACCTCATTTTCCTGAAACACTTCCAGAATTGAGTTTACTTACAATATAATCCTAATCAACATTTGTGATATCGACATATTAAACAGTATTATGTCAATTACAGCAACTCTGGGTATATGGAGACCAGTACTAGACCTAGCTGGTGGTGGTGTCATCAGTTACCCTAATGGCACACTCATTATAGAAGTGGTATCACTCTCCGACGAGGGAGTGTACGCTTGCAACGTGGAGAATGGTGTTGGAGATGCATTGAACAAGAATTTATGGATTAGTGTTAATAGTAAGTACCTTGAAGAATCTAAGTGTTTCTTAGGGTTCATACGAATCCATTCATATACAATGCTTTTTTTATATATATCATAAGGTGGCAAACGAGCGAGCGGCCACCTGAAATCGCTGAAATAGCGCAGTGACCGTTGCCCATAGACTTACGCAATTGCGTAAGCGTTGCCTACCTTTAATCGTCGGAGCATCCTCTGCACAGAAAGAAAAATTCCCTTCCAATGCATCCTCTCATCCGGAAAGTCTACTTCCACTTCCCATCCCTTCCTTATAAGAAAAAGGGTGGGAAGGGAAAGAGGACTAAATAAGGCCTCCGGGACGCACACTCATCAGACGAAACGCGGAATTGCTTCCACTTGATGCCTGTCATCTGTGTGGTCGTGGTATTTCACCGGACGAGCCGGGCCGATTCGTGCGAAGATGTTAAAGCGGGCTCTACCACTGTTAAAAAGCTAAATAAACTTCTGTATATTTGAAAGCCAACTTAATTTTTCAGTTTATTTACTTACAGCTATAATGTAAACCATTGATAATAATGAATAAACATAAAGTTTTTTCTAGAGCCGGTGCATTTTGAATCTGTGGGTACGAATCTGACAACTAAGTTAGGGTTGCCAGTAGCGTTGCCATGTCGACCGCTCGGTGACAGCCCTATTAGAGTCAAATGGGCTGTAAATGGTAAAGGTGTGGATTTTACAACATCGAGGTAAGCTTTGATATGCTAAAATTATTTCGATGAAATTAAATGCTTATACAATGCCATCTATTCATTCTTAACTTAAATTGCCAAATTCGTGCCTACTAAACGTACTTAAAAGAGAAGTTCTACTCCAGTTCCAGCAACTGATAATAGATGGCGCTTTTTTAACTAAAAATTTATTACTTTCAGAAATTATAATTTCGCGTTTAGTTTCTATAGCAATCGATAGAGATTATTTTGAGCTTTTAACTTTCAGAATAACTGTTGCTGAAAGTGTAAATACTAATGGCATTAAAAGCACTATAAATATAAACTACGTGGAGAGTAGAGACGGCGGCACTTATGAATGTAGAGCTAGCAACCCCTATGGAGTGGCGACTTATTTAATTCATTTGGATATTTTAGGTAATTTTACATTACAATATTATTAAGTATCATCTTCTTTTGGATGCTGCATGTTTAATTTAAAAGATGCACATAATTTTAATTTTGTATATTAAGCAATGAGGATAGACAGAGAAAGCTACAGATTATAATTGGATTTTTATCCAACTTTATGTCGTGACCTCTTATATACCTCTCACACTCTCACCCTCTCTTTCTCTGTCTTTTTCTCTTTCTATACCTCTTTTTAAGGTTTACTTCAAATTTTACAATTAAATATTTATCTAAAACTTTTGATTGTGGATATTCCAGAGCCCCCAACACCACCGTTAGACTTGCAAGTGGACTCTGTATCCAGTAACTCGGTGAAGTTGTCGTGGAGGGACGCGTTGAGTACGCATGTGCAGTACTACACGCTACAGTACGCCACAAATGACTACATGCTGTGGGACTCTGGGAAGAGTATTAATATCACCAGGTATAGTGCAAACTCTACAATTATAGTATTATCTGTGGTATGGCATATTGATTACCATTTGTGACTATCCATAGTAGTATTTACGACGAATTATGAATAATGTATTTCAAAACTAAGCACGTTCATTATTACTTTATTATAATTACTATTTGTACTTATTTCATTATTAAAAAAAATTGAAACAAAGAGGTTGTTGAAGTAGAACCATTCAAACTATACATCAGCGCCATCTCTTAACACCTTGTTGTTTCTACCTTGGAATCATAATGTTTTTAATTTTTATATCAAGCTCACTCAAAACACTTTATTTGAAAAGTAAAATTTTCAATTTTCCAGGCAAGAGAATGATATAAGGCAAAACATTGAGCTCAGAGACTTACAGCCCGCAGTTGACTACAGAGTTAGAGTCGCATCTGGCAACCAAGTTGATCTCAGCCAGTTCACGCAGGCAGTGCATTTCACTACAATGCAAGAAGGTTGGTTACTTATCATTTTAGTATTATAATATTTCAAACTCGTATTCAGTCAACTGTCAAAAGCCTCACCAGATATTATGTGATTACCATTGTTTATAACGAGCGTAAGAGTTAAACGAATAACTCCTCCTAGTTGGTTTCAGAAACTATACTAACTATGAATATACAGGACCTTTTGATGTAATTTAAAAAAATGTATCTCAGGTTGTAAGTTAAGGTACTTTAACAACTTCCGAACAGTATGACTTCTTGTTTTCTATGCGCAATGTATTATGAATATTCTTCCAGCACCATCGTCCAGTCCATTAAGCGTTCAAGTCCAGTCAACCGAGAACCCGGGCGAGCTAATAGTGTGGTGGCTAGCGCCGCCACGAGAGACGCATCGCGGCCCTCTGCAAGGATACCACGTTAAGGCTGTCCCGAGGATCAGCGGTGAATCAGGTATTATTGTTATACGAAAGAGGGCGCTAATCAATTGATATTATAAAAGTGTTAGTGACACGAAAGATGGCGCTGTTCTATATATATTTAGACTGTGATCATAATTACAAATTCATTAATAACTATGTGGTTGTCGAAATATGCTATGAATAAATATATTAAAAGGCATAAAGTTAAACTATAGACTGATTTAAAATGTTACTGCTGTTCTATATTTTATAATTTCTCGTCTTTCAAGGTCCAAATGATACACACACAAAAATGGTAAAAGTAACTCCGAGGAATGGGAAACAAGAGACCGTTTTAAGTGGTCTGTTGAAAAATACGAGGTATTATTAATACTTAATATGTATTTCTTATTCTATATTAATTATTTGTGATATTTCTTTTGTTTATTTTTTAAGATCGAAAAAGCCTGAGATATGGAGTTATCTTCTATTGTTGAACATTTATTTTTTATTTATTTCAGGTACGCTGTATCTGTGAGTGCATTTAATTCTGCAGGCACTGGTCCTTATTCACTGCCTGTCTATCAAACGACCAGAGAAGGAGGTAGGGGTCATGAATGTTTTAAGCATATGTGTGTTACAACATTTCTTTGAGTTTATTTATCATAATTTACATCAGTGGATACTAACTGTTATATATTCTATTTGTCACACCCGCTTTTTTCTCTAATTCGGCTCCAGAATAGCTTCAAAAGACCTATAATTGTATCAACAGTATTAAGCCTATCATCTTCATCTTGCTATACCATTATCCATTCAATTTGGCCTATCTCTACTGATTCCATTTCTTTTCATTTCTTGGGGAATCAAGAGTATTTAGGCTTTAAAGACCATAAACAATTACACTTTTTATTATGATAATTTCAGCGCCAGAACACTCGCCCGCAGCGGTGGAGTGCCGCGGCGTGTCCTCGTCGTCGCTGCGTGTCGCCTGGCAGCCGATCTCGTCACAAGGCACTTCTCTGCTCGGATATACCGTGCACTACAGCACTGAAGGTAAACGTCTCGTAATATTGGCAGTTTGTGCATTATAGTGGAAAACGCTTGTGAATAATTGAACTATCATCATCATCAGCTCACTATATGCCCCCACTGAGGGGCTCGGAGCCTACCCTATGCTATGGGTAACTAGGCCATAGTCAACCATGCTGAGACAGTGTGGGTTAACTTCACACATATCTTCGAATATCTTAACACATATGTATAGCATCACGATGTTTTCCTCCACCGTGATAACCGTTAGATTCGAACCCCGGACCTGCAGTTTACAAATCAAGCGCTTAACCCCTGAGCCACCAACGATAATTACAGGAATAACATGATAAAATTAAAGCAATAAAATAGATGGAAAAAATGTGTAAAACTTTTTCTCACATATTTCCAGATGGTCCATGGTCAAATCTGACATCACCACATACAGAGCTTTACCTTCAAGGACTAATGAAGTACACTAACTATACGATCAAAGTGGCAGGATTCTCTAGTTATGGAGTTGGACCATTCTCGTATCCTGTTATCTGTACAACCTTACAAGATGGTAAGCATTGATAACTTTTGAAGAGATGTCAAGAAAGATGAAGGAAAATTCCTCAATAGTGTTCCTGAACCAAATTTAGTAATGACAGCTTTCCTGACATCGAATAAGCAAGAATTTAATTGTTTTTGTTTACAATATAATAATTCCATACTTTATAATTACATTTCAGTGCCCGGTCCGCCATCAGCAATAAAGCTGCTAGTATCATCACCAACTTCGCTCCTCGTTAGTTGGAAGAAACCTGATCAACCTAATGGTGAAATTACGCACTACACTGTCTACGTGAAGCCTGTTTCAAGGTAATGCTAGATTACATGCTAGACCATTAAATTAAACAGTTAAGAATTTGATGAGAATAAATTAAATGTCGATTAAATTAAGAGCACAATTTTCTCTTCATAGAAATTGTCGATCTCAGACAGATTTGTGAAATGGCCCTTGGCAAAAAGTTTATTATGTAACCGTCTTCGTCTTATCTGAACGCTCTTTTATTGTATAATCATAGTGACTGGATTGTTATTAATAATTACAATATGTACCAGCACGGGTGCTCCGCAGCACCACCGTATAGAAGCGAGCCAGGAGTCCAACTTGTCGCGTCAGTTCACGTTCCCTCTTGCCGCGCTGCCTGCTGCTCGCTACGAGGTGTTCGTGCGCGCTCACACGCCGGCCGGCGAGGGCGCGCCCAGCAACAGAGTGCACGCAGAACTCACTTCTAAAGGTTACTACAATTACCATCATTTAAATGTCTCTATTCAATACTTGAAAATCTACTTTCTCTGTCTCTCTCTTTTTGCTTCCTATATTTTCCTTCTAAAAATAAGATGGATATGGGTAGAATTGGTTTTCGACACATATACTCTTCGGATGTAAATCGGAATTAGTTCCACTTGACACGCACCTTTAGCAACGATCGAGCAGCCATGCTTATAGTAGTTGATGCTGCTACAGACTTTGCCACTGTTTGTTCTTTGCAGAGATCGTCGAGTCATTTGTTTCTGGAAATTTTATAATTTTTGCTATAATTGTATTCCAGTGGTGGCTGGTGTGTCGTCTCTGGGTGGTGCGGTGTGGGCAGGCGTGGGACGGTCGCTGTTGTTGGCCTGCGCCTGCGTGGGGTCTCCGCCGCCGCGCACTGTGTGGTATCACAACCACAACATCATCACACATCACCCGCGCTTCACACGGAACCATGATGACAGTCTGCTTATCAACAGTGAGTACAGTTTAATTTAGTGAATGTTGTAAAATTATAGTGCAAGTAAATGAGTTGTCATTTGATAAACAACGATTGCACCCAAATTGTTATTTTTAAATTACACAAAAAGGGACTCAAGTTAAGTTCGTTGCTAGTACATGGCAATTTTATTGTAACCAAGGTATCGCGAACGAAGGCCACGTCTTTCAAACATTTTTTTGATTTCAGATATTGATCAATCTCTAAGCGGTAACTATACATGCTTAGCAAAGAATCTGTATGGATCCGACTCGGTTTCATATGAAGTATCAGTCCTGCCCACTCCAGAACCGCCAAGTTTGAGAGTAACGTCGCACAAGAACGCCTTGCACGTCCAATGGGATCCACCAAGGAAGTTAAATGGAAAGACACAGAAAATTGGTAAGTTACACCTCATCTTTCATTAAAGCAAGGCATCTGCTAACTAGGTTGCAGAAGTATATGGGTTAATTGCTATTTTAGAGAAATTGGACCCCAAATATTATTGGACCGTGCATAATCATTAAATGGAACTTAATATTTCGCAGGATACAATTTAACATGGAAAGAAGCAAACGTGTCATGGCAGGATTCGTGGTCTAACAAGGGCACTTCAATAAGAGATATATACGAGTTCACAATACAAGGCCTGAAATGTGGCACAAAATATTCTCTGCGTATGACGGCGGCTAACAGTGTTGGGTCTTCGCAGCCATCTTACCTTGATGCTACCACTTTAGGAGGAGGTAATTGTTATTCTAATTTTTATGATGAAGGTGTCAATCCTTAAAACTATCCACGTGATGTTAGGTTACCACTGCAACATATTTCTGGCACAATCACAACACTTGCGTCTTCTCACAGTCAATTAGAAGACCCAAGAGTTAATATGGAAGAAATCCAATAGATTAATGTGTCAAGTAAATTTGACACGAAAAAAATATGTTTCTTATATTTGATAATGTTTCCACAGTGCCAATAGCACCGACCACAACCGAATGGTTCTGGAGCAACGCAAGCCACATCTACATCCAGCTGAGCGGCTGGGACGACAACGGATGCGAGATCACTAAGTGGGACGTCGATTATAAAGAATACGGAAGTAAAATGTGGAGGAAAGCAGAGAATAGACTGGTGAGGGAAAATTTTAAGTATACAGCTAGATAAATTAAAAAGATTAATTTATTTCATGACTCCTCCAATATTCAATTCCTATGATGTTTGAATAGAAAAGACGCGAGAAAGATTTGAGCCGTTCCAAAAATAATTTACATAGGAAATGGAATACTCTGAGGGATATGAAGCTTCATATTATAAGTTAGAATTTGACAAGCAGATTCAGATATGATTTTTCTATAGTGATCTGAAGATTAATATTCTGGTCTTATATTTCAGCCACAATTGGACCAAACTTGGAATCACTACATGGCAGCGTCAATACTGAATCAACCGAATACATTTGTGATCGCCGACTTGTTACCTGCCCAGTGGTATCAGATTAAGATCGTGGCGGAGAATTCTGCAGGATTATCCACTTCATTATATAGTTATGCTACGACAAATGCTTTAGGAGGTACTATTGAACGAACTTTGTTTTTTAAAGTGTACAGTTAACCATTTCCATGTCCTCAACGTACTCAAAGTTGGGGTGTACAATGTTTGTATCTTCCAGATTGATCTTTTGTCGTCGTTCAGTATATGTAGCAAAATACAAATATTGACTTTTGCAAGGATAGCCCATTATAAAACCATTGTCTTCTAATATAATGAGCTAGTCTAGCCTTTAATGTATCTCCGCAGACCTTCGTTTGAGAAGATGGTAAAGTTCTATCTGTCAGTTCTAATTTTGCTTTAACCGTCTTTGTTTTCAGAGTCAATCGGTCCTCCCACAGACTTCATGGATTTGAATATGTTGGTGATCATCTGCAGTTCTATTCTGCTAATGCTTTGCTCTTTGGCCTGCGTCTATATTTTAGTTAAAAGGCATAAGTAAGTTATTTTATAAATACTTTTTGTATTCCTAATACGAGTTCTTATATATTAGATTTTTATTGAGATGTTCTATAACAGCAAATTCCTGGTTCCTTTCATAAGTTTGGTATATTCTCAGCCATCACAGACTGACGGAGTACAGGAACTCGCTGACGGCGGAGTGCAAGTCTGAGCGCAGCAACGTGACAGCAAACACGCCGCAGAGCGCGCCCGGAGACAACCGCGTCTACAGCACGCCCGTACATCTCACTGCTGATACTAAACACGGTGGGAATAACTGAAAAAAAAAATTAACAAAGTTTGGTCCCACAAGGATCTTATGGCAGTCAAAAAATATTTGAACTATGTCATCTCGACAGTGTTATATTTTGACCAATGAGGGAGCAGCAGCTCAGTTTAATTTTGTCATTTTCAAAAATCAAAATTCCATTAAAATATCCCTCATGATACTAGTGTTTTTGGCTGTATCAATTTAAAGAGAAGGTTATTACTATGAGAACTGAATTCATAAGTTGCAAATAAATTGTTTGGGAATTGCAACAAGGACGACTTTCAGAAGAAGTTAGGAAATTTTAGCTCTCTGGTGACCCTTAAAACTTGTGGGCGCCCTGTCAATGTTAAAACAGGCTTAAGATCCTTGAGGGACACATTGTTGCACGTGTATTACAATTTTTTTTTATTTTACAGAGCTATACGAAATAAGTCCATACGCACAATTCGCGATTGGCTTCCGTACATTCGGGCATGTTGACAACCAAGAGATCCCAAGCAGAATACACACACCCGGGAACAGCAAGTCTAGATATGATAGTGGTAAAAATATTATAATTGCTTTAAATACTTGCGCTATTTCATACAATGCTAGATATCATTGAGACGGTAAGACTAATAGATGAAATGCTAAGTGGAACTTTAGAATATGATAAAATCAAACTTAGGTCTTCTACAAGATAATAGGGAAAGGAAAAAATCTGTGCTGATATTTTTTCACTTATACGTACCAAGTATTTCCCACTGGTCTGATGGAATTCATACAATTAACCGTACGATTTTGTTTTTGTTTCTTACAGAAACAAGCTTCCAAATGAGATCAGAGTCAGAAGAAAGTGATTGTGTATCTCGGACGACGACATTGAAGAGTAATCAAAGAAGTACGTCTTATTTATGTTTTTATTATTTTTTTTTTTTTTAGATAATTGCTATAAAATAATAAGCTATTTCATTTAACATGACCCTGATCGTCCAAAATCTCTAAAACATATTGTGATCTCTGTTTTCTCAAAGATAATGACAGGGATGACGATATGTTTCATACGGAGATTTTGGTCTCGGAATCCCGGGGTATGTTCCACAGAATATAATGTTGCTTATGTTTTCTTAATCTTTCTGCAGACAAGATCTTTTAGTATATTCTTTAGAAATAAATAAGATCAACTCCTTTTATATTTTTAACAAATGGTATATAAACACGGCTAAACACTCACGTTTATTCGTCCGGTGGCGGCACCGACTAGTTTAGTTAGCACAGTGAGCTGAGGGCCGCGTCCGCGAAATAATACCAGTACCACTCATCCTGATGAAGGGCCCCCGATGGGCTCGAAACTAGTCGGTGCCGCCACCGGACGAATATACCTCAGTGTTTAGCCGTGTTTATATATCAGTTTAGTATAATGTCTCACGAAAGTTTGAATAATTTAAACGAATTGGTTTTGGTTCGTTAAATAAAATAGCACTGTGGTATTTTATAAAGTTTACTCATAGCACATAATAAATAATTAGCACATCAGTTACATCCATTAACATCAAAATATCTTCGAAACAAGTGATCACACGATCGGCGTTTTAACGGTCACTCCTCGAAACGAACCAACTTCCTCTCCCCCTCGCGCCCGATGACCCCCTCGCAGCTCATCGTCGTCAAGCGCGAGTCGGTCGCAACTAGTGCCAACGTAACCGCCATAAATTTATTCGATTTTTTTTTACAGAAACATGCAGAGTTCCACATCACAGGTAGCTGTAAGATGAATTTCCATTTAGATAAAATTATTTCAACTAATATTTCTACAAGGATAATGTAAATTATTATCTTATAGTATACAATTATTGCTCACGTTTTTTGCTTTTGTAATTTTTTTGAACGTATTTTTTTATTTAAAATCTATGAGTTTTTGAGATTTTGCACTTTTGTGTAATTTTACAATTTAGTGAAATTTACTATATCGTTTAGGAAATGTTATTTGTAATTTATTTATTTTTTATATTTTCACTTGTATTTTTTTATATTCTATACTTAAGCTTAAGTTATTCTAGTTGAAGCAATAAAACATTTTTAAGAATTTATATTGTAAATTTTCTTTACATTTACAATTAATAAAATTGGAGTATATGTATGTAATATTGAAAAAAAAATATTTTACAAAAATAGTATATTTGCGTTGTAACGAAATATCATTTTTTTTAATTTTTGTATGTATGTCCGCAAGTCCGCGTTTGTTCAGTGTAATCAGAAAAGGCTGGACTGACTTTGATGGGACTTTGTTGTGAAGGTAACTGATTCACGTGGGTATGTTACGGCATACTTTTTTTTAATGCAGATGTCGCAACCGACTTCTTGTTTACAATAAATATAGTTAGATTCATCATATCATTCTTAAATGTAATAGGAAATAAATATACTCTTTACTGCCAAATATTAATTAAGTTTCATGTCATGTGTTCAATTCAAAACTGTTTTTAATATTTTTTAAAATAATTATCTGGATATTTGTAATTAAATATTATTTTCTTAAATATTGTAAATGCTATTTTTGAAACAATTGTAATTATTGCTTCTGCAATTTGAGTGGTGAAATTTTATTGTAATTTTTATCTTCAAAAAGACTGATTATTTTTAAACATTTATTTCATATCATTCAATTGTGTAAATCCACGATTTACTAGATGTAAAATTCTTATGTAAAATATAAATGTTAGATTACTGTTATGTTGTTTTATTTATGAAAAAAACATCAATACATTAATCACGTTTACATTTGAAAAGAATGAGTTACTTACTCCGCTGGCGCATCGACCCAAAGTGGGTCTTGGCCTCCGACACAAGAGATCGCCAAAGTCGCCTGTCTTGCGCCTTCTCCTGCCAGTCCATCGTCGTGGCTGGGCCACCTCATGAGCCAAAGCAGCATACCTCGGGACCCCGATTGGCCGCCGGCCCATCGGTCGGCCCAGGTACCGCTGGCGAGACGCCGTAGAGATGGATCTGCGGGAGCTACAAGAATGAGTTTACAATTAATATTATAAATGCGAATGTTTAAATGCATAGATGGACGTTTGTTTGAACATATCTCCAGAACGGCTGAATGGATTTCGATGAAATTTGGCATACGTATAGAACATAGTCTAGGAGAACACATAGGTTACTAATTTAGTTTTTAGACCCGCGCGGACGCAGTCGCGGGCCACAGCTAGTTGAGATACGAATGAGCCATGAAAGTTATAATTCATTGTTAGATTGATTTGTGGCCACGACTTTTATATTGAATACATTTCTTTGGTAATTCTTTACTGCATTAACAAAATTCCTTAGGCTAACTATCGAATGTGTTGCAAAAACTTAGGACCTAGATAAAGTACATTCGTTCTGAAACGATTCTATCATGATTTTCAAAAATCTAATGATGCGAGTCAATCACGTCACTCATTGAAAGTTTTTGTTAGTTCTAGTTTCTCTTCTAGTCTGAAGTTCGTTATCGAATCGCTTCGAAGTACTTTGTCTAGCGCCTCTTGATTGACAACTCTACCGTACCACCAAACTAAGAACTAACATTAAAAAATACAAATTAAAACAAATGATATTACATAATGTCTTTGGTTATTTTTTTGAAAAATGATAAAAAAAATATGTGTAAAGACTCTACAAAGCAAAAGCACTGAAGTGAAAAATTGGATCCTGCCCATCTCTTTAAATCGATGACCCAATTTAGGTAAAATATATCTCGGTCGTTTTTGTATCAAGAAATTGCACGGAACGTGATCTGTGGACTTATATGAAAGGTTTTTCAGTTAAGGTAAATCATCTTCTTGAGGTGCCTTTCTGACTAACGAAGGTTGGCGATCAGTTCTCCATATTTTCTTTTGTCTCTTGTGAGGCCACATACTTGGGCGACACTCGCAACCCCTGTCCACTCTCGGATGTTACACAACCAGGGTTTCTAGATAAATCATACTATTATATTTGTTAGAAGGTATCTACAGAAAGGCTGAACAGATCATAATGAAATTTGGCATACATTTGATCACATGCTTTTTATTTTAATTCCGCGCAGACGGAGTCGCGGACGACAGCTTATTTTAATAAAATATTTATTCAACTAGGAAAGAAGATTAATAAAAGGACAAAGAAAAGATTACAATGATATGAAACGAAGTAATACAAATCATATAATTATAGGGCATTGGCTGCAAGCCTAATTAATTAAGTTAATCAGGTTAGGGCAATACCAGTAAGAGCTATAAATTAGGTTAGTTAAGACTCAGTAGAAGGTAAAGTTGACGTGGTTGACCAAGGCCTATTCCCCCTTAATTTTGGGTAGCCCCTTAGTGGGGGCATATAGGGTGCTGATAATGATTAAACTTATTTTATTAAGAAACAATGATGACATCTATTAGAAAGTAATCAGTTTGAATGTGGCTACAAAGGTAGAGGGCCGAAGATAGTATGGGTTGTGTGAAAGAAGATATGCTTTAGAAGAGCGTGTGTTCAGCTATGACGATGATATTGATATGTGGAATAATATAGAGGTGTCCCATAAGTCGAGGTCCTTGCAGTTACCAGAAAAATGATAAAAAAAAACTTAATATTTTTATGGTAGCAATTATGGTTTGCTCTATCACCCGACTTATGGGACACCCTAAATATATTGTGCTGAACCTCCGTAGGTAAAAGAATGGGATGATGATTATATAAAACATTTTATTACAAACGCGGTGAATGAAAGTTCCGCTGTAAATATGACTGGTTATAAATATGTTGGTATTGAACAATTGTTAGAAAGAAGTTGGACGTATGCACCAAAGAGCCAACCGATTGTTCGATACCAAGAGGAACTCGGAGTTGTAACCGCGACGAGTTCCAAACTCCAATAATATAAAGTTGAATCCTGGAATTGTGTACGTTGACTGGAGTTACTACTTTGGAACTGATTCGAATATGAACTGGATTGTTCGTTAGTAAATTCGAAAATAAAAGAATAAATAGTATCCTATATCCGTTTCCTGGCTCTAAGCTACGTCCTCAACAATTTTCAGCCAAATCGGTAAAGCCGTTCTTGAGTTACATATAGATTAGTAAGTATAACTCTATTCAACTATGTCGTGATGGGTGAACTTTTACTCATAGACATATAACTACAGGATTTCGATTTGCATTTGGCCAGTATTTTTTAATGCAAACATTTTAATTAACTTTGGTTCTGTTTTTCAACACACTGTGCAAAACAGGAATAAACTTTTCATTGTTTCATTTTAAGTAAATTATCGAGTTCCACTCGAGTATCATATTCGTGGTAGGGGTAAAATAATTCCGCAGAGTTTGTTGGACAAACAAATAATTAATCTGCCGAGGGTATAGTTTAATTGCTTGTTTTGAGTTTGTCTTGCAATTCCGACTGTGTTTCGCGGGAATTCGACTCCAACAGACGATAGAAGCCAAGTGTATTGAGTTTTAATAATAAATTACGAAATCTGTGTTGGAGTTTAAGCATTTTAATTGGTACAAATATAGCTTTAAAATTAAATGTAAACCTAATATTGCATGAAAGACATTCATTTATACGAGTATAAATATTACAAAGATGTGGGTAGTTTTATATTACTTTGGATGAAATAAATTCAGTTCACTAATAGTGTTGACACAAATACGACACGTAAACAATGGCCCGTGACTTCGTGCGCGTAATTAATAAAAAAAAACTATTAAATATAGTCTCTGTCACGGAGGAAAGAGTAGCTTCCGTACAGTGAAAGAATATTCCAAATCGGTCAAGTAGTTTCGGAGCCTATTCAATGTAAACAAATCTTTCCTCTGCATAATATTAGTTTAGCTAATAAGTTCAATATAAAAGAGTCTCACCAAGTGTGCGCAGTCACCAGCCAGATACCGAATTAAGGAGCTCTCACAGCGAAGGTATGTACGTAATATGTTCACTTTATAAGTACCTGTGATGATGTGCGAATGACTCGATTCATATTACACTCATACGTGTAAGTACCGACGAATTGTCATTTTGCTTCGTTATGTTAATGAATGTTGCCATTAAATATTTTATTTGTTGTCTATGACTAAATCAAGTTGGCTATGCTAATTGTTTGGTTGAATATTGTTTGTGTTTTTCAGGAATATAAAAACATTTTAAGATTAATTAATAATTTATGGATTTCTGTAATAACGAACTCTTTTAAAATGGGTGAGAAGACACAAATAATTTCATTAATTAATAATTGTGTTTAGTTGTTTATTATTATAATTAATATTGAAAGTAATTTAGTTAAGAGAAAATCTTTACGGTAGCCATAATTTACTGTATGTCATAATTTAATGTATATTGTCCATAGAGATATTTTTATATTTCCGATTAAGTAAATCTATACATATATATATAAAAGAAAGTCGTGTTAGTGTAACACTATTTATAACTCAAGAACGGCTTTACCGATGTGGCTGAAAATTGGTAAGGAGGTAGCTTAGAGCCAGGAGACGGACATAGGATATTTTTTTTCGTTTTTTTTATTTACCTTACTAATATTATAAATGCGAATGTTTGTGGATGGATGTGATCTGCATGGATGGATGGGTGGGCTACACTAATTATTTTTTATATATCCATGCCGACGGAGTCGCGGGCGACAGCTAGTTTTGAATAAATCAGATTATAAAATATCAGTACATTTTAGGTCAGGGTTGTTCGTGTAATGAAACTTGGTGTAGTTTGATGTCAAAATTACAATCATCCGCCGAAGAGAGGAAAAATAATAGACGAGTTTGTAACAGTCACAGACCGAGATGTTTAAGATTTAGACGTCGTCTTCATAAAGGAGTAAATTTCAAATATCTATTTATATTTTTCTCTGATGATACTTTGTAGAGAATATCCTCCGATGATTGAAGGTAGGCAACTCATCTGTCATCAACATCTGGCTACTCACATGTCCGCAGTGGTCGCTTTGGTAAAATATTTAGGCGGTTTGGAACATTGTACATGTGGTGACAGGGACGGGACTAGCAGTGACCTTGAGCCACCAATATATTTGAAAAGACTTATAGTATAGACGCCTACTACGATTATAAATGTTGTAAATTTTACAGAAATGCAATTGTAAATCAAAATGCGACCAAGAGACATCGACCAATGTTCGCTCGGATTGTGATCAATCTTTGAAAGAATCACGTAAAAAGCCTTGCCAAGTCCATTTCTGTAAGGCCTCCGGAGAACCGCCTAATAAATGTTGCTCGCAGAAAAGTCCACAAAATTTGAGATCGAAAAATATCTGTCGGTTCACTGTCGATGCTTATTTTAATTAAAATATATTATTTACGGTTTCTTTATATCAAACTAATTAACTTTAGATGTAACTAATTAAACTTAGATTTTGATATAGTTTAGTCTTTCCCAAAGTAAGCGATAACGCGAACTTGTGGGCGCTGCAGGTTTCAAGTTGCGGGTTATAGTAAAAGTTTCGTTTAGAATTCTCCGTTAATATACAGATATAGGTCATAATAATTAATTAATTTAATTTGAATTTATAGTGGTTTTTAAATATGTGAAAATATGGGGAAGCTAAAAAATATTTATTCCCAAAGTGGGCAGTAGACAAAATAAGTTTGGGAACCACTGGTTTAGATGGATGGATGTTTGTTAAAAGGTATCTCCGGAACGGCTCATCGGATCTTGATGAAATTAATCACATATATAGAACACAGTCTTGCAGACTACTTATTAAGTTTTTTTTTAAATTCCGCACCGACAGAGTGGCGTAACAGATTAGTATATTAATAAAATAAATTTAAACACCAGTTTAGATGGCATCAGAATAAGACAATCGTTAACTATAGTTCGTTAGTTGACAAATTTCAAACTAAATACTTACCAATATTAACATTGAATTGTTTGAAAAGGATTATTTACTTTATGTTAAATGTAGTTATTATTATATTTATACTTAGATATCTACGCTGAAATGTAGATTGTTTTACCTCGCTAACATTTCCACAATGATTGCAATCGAATATTTCTTTATAACGCTTTCTCGTCTAAACAAATCAACTGTTTACAATTTTCTAAGCATTTTCTAGAGAAAAAACGAAAAACCGAAGCTGCAGCGGTATAGTATCTGATAGAAGGTTTTCAGTACCGAAACACTAATAGAAAAATACTAGCTGTCGCCCGCGACTCTGTCCGCGCGGGATTAAAAATAGATGTTGGTCGATTCTCAGACCTACTCAATATGCTCAAAAAATTTCATGAGAATCGGTCAAGCCGTTTCGGTGGAGTATGGGAACGAAAATTGTGACACGAGAATTTTATACATAAGATGTTGTTTTCTTTATTTTTACAAGAGAGATGACGATAATGTTTTAGTGTCAAAAGTAGCTTATTATACGTCCCCAGCGAGGGGCTCAGATACTACACTAAGTTAAGCGTGACTAGGCCATAGTCAACCACACTGGCACATTGGGAGTTGACTTGACACATATCTTTGCATTTCTTCTCAGATATGTGCAGCATCACGTTTTCATTCACCGTAAGAACGTCGTGTAAATGTACATCTGTAAATGGAAAATCACATTGGTGCATAGTGGGATTCGAACCCAAGATTTGCAGATTACAAGTCAAGTGCCTTAACCCCTGAGCCACCGACCAGTGTTAGTTATCAACAATGGACTTACAGTACACTTAAAGGTATACGATGTTATGTAGGGACAATGTGAAGGTTGAAACAAAACGCTATCATTGTAAGCACCTCGTTACAGCGACGGGCGCAGACTTTGTTACACGTTAATTAAGTTTTATTGTACATTAACCGCCTGTTATGGCACAACTCTTGATACTTGTTTAGATATAATGTTACCACTCTAGCTGTTTGCTGGTTAAAGTATCTAGCTTTAATGTAGGCTATGATGGGTTATGTACAAAATGCATTGTCAGTGGTAAATATTTATTGCGAGAGTAATCTGAAGTAGTGAGAGTAAGACGAATTTTTAATTCGAATCTTTTTAAACTTTATTTCTCTTTAAACATTCCTGACACTGACAGTTGTCAAAAAATAATAAAATAAATAGTGACTGGGATTAAAATAGATGTTGGCCGATTCTCAGACCTACTCAATATGCTCCCAAAATTTCATGAGAATCGGTCAAGTCTTTTTGGAGGAGTATTGGAACGAATTGTGACACGAGAATTTTATATATAAGATTCTGTTAAATCACCAAATTGAATAGCAAAATAAAGAAATAAATAATACTTGATCTTTTCCTATATTTCATAGAATTGATGTGGAATTTAATTTTATCAAATTATATCAATAAAAGTCGTAGGAAAGAATATGTAAAATTTTGTTGAATAAATAAAAAATGGCTAAATGAAAATTTGCTATTAACAATATGATCGACTTTCATAATATTTTAAAATCATCATTAGTAAATTAAGAATACATTTTTCTTCTAAGCTAATCATATTTACATTTACAATTTTCTACGAGAAAATGTCTATATCATCATCATCAACCTGGCGTTATCGAGGGTCGGCACAGTATGTGCTACTCCTCCATACATCTCTATCAGCTGTCATATCCGAGTCTACCCCCTTCTTACGCATATCCTCTTTCACACAGTCATTCCATAATTTTTCGTCTTCCTCTACATTTGTAGCCATCCACATTTAATCTCATTACTTTTTTGCTTATATCATCATCATCCCTCCGCATAACATGTCCAAACCAAGCTAAAAATATCTGTACTAAGGGTTTATTTAAGTAACAATTTTACAACTATAAGTATCAATAAAATAACTAAAGTCTTAAAACGATTACAATCTTTAAACTGTTCTGCATTGCAACGCTTAATTATAATTTCTGTTTGATTTTTTTTTTGGAAATTATAATACATTTGATAATAAAAGCGTACAATACAAAGTAAAATCGAATATGACAACATGTTGGCGCGAAGCCAAACCGCTGCGCGCAATATTTAGTACAAAACGAATAATTGTTTCACTTCCCTTTACATACAAATTATGAGTTTTTAATTACATTTTCCTTTTTTTATATCATAAGGTGAGAACGAGAGAGCGGCCACCTGAAATCGCTGAAATAGCGAAGTGACCGTTGCCTATAGACATACGCAATTGCACATGCGTTGCCTATCTTTAATCGACGGAGGAGAGGATGCACAGAAAGAAAATATTTTCCCTTCCCATGCATCCTCTCAACCGGAAAGTCCACTTCCACTTCCCATCCTTTCCTTATAAGAAAAAGGTGGGAAGGGACAGAGGATTTAATAAGGCCTCCGGGACGCACGCTCATCAGACTGCACACGGAATTGCTTCTACTTCACGCCTGTCTTCTGTGTGGTCGTGGTATTTCACCAGGCGAGCCGGGCCAATTCCTGCGAAGATGTTAAAGCGGGCTCTACCACTGCTCGTGACATTCATTTACTTTTTTGTTGATTCCACGATTTGTTTTTTTAAATATTACTTTGGCATTTTAATGTCAACAATTCTTAGCGCGAAATTCGACTAGTTACACTATTTATAACTGAAGAACGGCTTTACCGATATGGCTGAAAATTGGTGAGGAGGTAGCTTAGGCCCAGGATACGGACATGTGATACTATTTATTCATTTTTTTTTTCGAATTTATGTCTTGAAGAGTTGCTTTTTATACAACTTACTAATATTATAAATGCGAATTTAGATGTATGTGATGTGGATGGATGGGTTACACTTATTAAGTTTTTTATATATCCACGCGGACAAAACTATGATCACTCTCTCTGTTTCGCACAGATTACAGTGGAACAACAGCCTGGAAGAACACATAAGCTACTAATATTTTCTTTAATTCCGCGCGGACGGAGACGCGGGCGACAGCTAGTACATAATATAAGCAGTCAAACGTATTGCTTAGTTTTATGTCAATACTAGTTTCAGTTTTAAGTCATAGAACATACCATGTTCCATGTGTCATAATCAAATTATCATGATAAACACGTTCAGATAGACATCGAGATGGCAATTAACATCACATCAAATACGCAACGTCTCAAATTGTATGAGTTTGCATCAATCAAATATGTCACATAATTAAACGTTAACAAGAAGACGTATATGTATACTAGCTGTCGCCCAAGACTCCGTCAGCGCGGAATTAAAAAAAAACTGAATGTGTTCTTCCAGACTATGTTCTACATCTCTGGCAAATTTCAGCAAAATCCGTGCCGCCTATATGGAGATCTTCTAACAAACATCCATTTATTTAAACATTCGCATTTATAAGATTTTGTTATTCTGTGTAGTTCTTTACCTATTTAAAATTGATTTCGAGTTAAAAAAAAACTATCTTTTGGAAATTTTTATATAACAGTAGGGGGCAAACGAGCAGCGGGATCATGTTCAACGATGCCCATGGACATCAGCAATACCGGAGCAAACGGAGATGCGTTGCCTTTGAGATGGTGATACGCTCGCTTCTTGAAGGACCCTAAGTCGTAGCGGTTTGGAAATACCGCCGAGGACTATTATTAAAATATTATTTAAAAATGGGTGATATGTATACCGTTGCATTGGAAACTACGGTAGATTACAATCGTATTAGGTGTTTTATAAACTATCAGAATGTTCTTTACGTTAAATTCCATATATTATAAGTGTGCTCTTATTCATTTACACTAGCCAAATACATGTTTAAATTGTAGACATAAAAAAACTAAGAATTTTTAAACACGCTGTGTATTACTATTTCGTAACAAATTTCAGCGTATATCTTTTAACGTTTCCCAACTAAGCAGTTTAATTTGGAAGCGTTATGCAGATACGTTGGTTGGGAATTCGTCGCTCGCCGGCCCACTCAGATAACGACCAGTTAGGTTGTTATGGTTCGTTCAAACGTTGTTACATTTAAAGTGAGTTTCTGAGAACAAGATTTCTGTATAAAACATATCTTTTACAAAATAGTGATAATTGTTTCAAACGGGGATTTTGGTCTCCGAAAGCCATGATTAAACTCGAGGATTAGTTTGTTTAGGTTAAAAAATTATAATTGTCTATGGCTCGGCCCTTTTTTAATTTAATAGAAACTTATATACATAGTTAATAATCAATATTATTACAGGTTTACATATGATGTAATTCGTTATTACGAATTAGCTGTAGCCTGCGACTCCGTCCGCGCGGCATTAAAGAAAATACTAGTAGTTTATGTGTTCTTCTAGACCAGTGGTTCCCAAACTTATTTTGCCTACTGCCCACTTTGAGAATAAATATTTTTAGCGCCCCCATACATTTACATATTTAAAAACTACTATAACTTCAAATTAAATAATTTATTATT